ATTGGCTGTGTGATTTGAGAAAGTGGCCTAACCTCTCTGAAACTCAAATGCCTTATCTGTAAAATGAAGAAAATTATATTTATCATGCAAGATTGTGGTAAGAATTAGAGATGATCAATGTAAAAGCAAACTGATAACTAGACACTAAGTGGATATTCAATAAAGGGCTCTCATAATGAGGCCACTTGCAGGTACCTTTTCCTCTCCATCACCTCAACTGCCACCCCACATTCTCCAAAGGTGACACAAACCTCTTAGCTGAGCTCCCTCTAGTCCTTCCCTGCTGCAAACCCCCTGGCTCCCCGCTCCGATCTTATCCATCCTGTACACTGTTGCCAGATTCATTTTCTTACAACCCCTATTTCAGTACATCACTCCTCCATTTACCAAATTATTATGCATTGCCTATAGGATAAGGGCCAAACCTCTATGTCTGATGTTGATGGCTTGCTCTCCCTGAGTGCCCCTTGCAAGTTTCTCAGCTTTGTTTCTCTGCCTCTTGGCCCCAGCCCCAAATACACAGGGGCTTGCCCAGTCTGGGAGATGATGTGGTAATCCACATACCACCTCTCCCTAGAAATGGGCTTTCCTGGTGAGTCTTCTTAGTGCCCCAGGTCTCTCCTCAAGCTCTTGAGGTCCCCTCCCTGCCCAGCTTCCCTTGAATGACAGGGCTCTTACTTAACATTCCCATCCCAGGCTCCCAAACTTTCTTAGAGAGAGGTGTATCTGAGGTGGGTACCATGCCCGCCTGCATAGGCTTCAACTAAGTCAGTACTAGACCAGCTAGAGAGTGAGAGCAGACATGCACCAACTCTTCCCCACCCCCTGTTCAAATGAAGAACAGGAGAGGAGCTAACTCCAGGGAAACAGATGTGACAGAGCAGCTGAGGAAACCTTACAGAGGAGCAGCTGGGCCAAGTGAACAATGGAGGCCTCTGACTTTCCTATGTGTCCACTCCTCTCTACTAACCATGCCCTGTGGGAAAGGCCAAGTGAGGAAACTGAGGCTTGGGAGGGGACTAGGAGAATTTGATTTGAGGAAGAACTCGATTTGAATTGGGGACCAGGAGCTTTGGACTTCTGTGTAAACTTGAGCAAATCCTTTCCCTGTTTTGGACCTCAGTTTCTTCATCTAGAAATGGGAGATTGGACCAGGGAGTCTGCTTGCTCCAGATTGCCCTGAAAGGTAGGAGGGAGTGATCCTGTGCCCAGTTTTCTACTGGCTGCTGAGTCAGGAGGCATAGCAAGGAACACCGGATCGGCTGTGGGGGTCCTAGGTCTTACTGGTAGACCTGTTATCTAGCTGATTGGACCTAGTTCACCACTTCAGGATAGAGGTGCACTGTAGCCCAGCCTCACTTCTTGCATCACTTCTCAACATTCTGCTCTTTCAAAATGCACTGGGCCTGGCCTGTGAATATGTCCAATATATCTAGAAAGGAGGGGGCCCAGAACTGGTCATGCCACTCCTCGCTCCCCTGAAAAGAGCCACAGCCCCCGGCAAGAAGGCCGAGCAGATGGAGAGGAAGGGTTAAGGCATGCTGACTGGGGATGGAAGGTTAGTATCCATATCCGCTTGGAAGCCCAGCAGGGGGAAAAAACAGTATGAGATGAAAGCAATGAAAGCTCTATGATGAAAAAAAAATGCAGACCAAAGGGTCACAAAGGCCCCTGCAGCAGCAGTGTGCCTGCCTATGACCACACCATGCCCCTCAGGCCATTTTCTCCATTGTTCATATTTTCCCCTAATTCCAAAAGGGTGGAGGGAGCAAAGTACTCTTAATAGGCTGGCACCTGTATCTCTGTAGTGGTTCTGGTTTCCCTGCCTGCCTTTGCTAGAAATACACTTATACATGCACAGGTTTGAAAAATAAGACAAACCAGTGGAGATGGAAGACTCTGAGATTATTTAATTCAAAAAACAGAAGTTGGGGGTGGAGAGAGAGAGTTTAATGTCTATGAAATCTCTATTGGATTATTAAGCAGAAGAGCAATGGTGGCCTGCTGCTCTCAGCTCCTTCCCCCAACACACACACATACACACAAACACACATGCAAGGTTTAACTACAGCATGAAAGGCTCAGAATAGCCCTGAGAATGAACTGGACAATGAGGCAGGTGACCCAGGAATGAGTGACACAGAAATGCTATGAAATATTGCCATGGGGGCTTAACCCTTTATCACCCACTGCATCTGCCCAGACAGGATTCAGGCAGGGAAATTGAAATAACATTGGACGTTATCTCTTCTAGCCTCAGGTAGCCTATCTGTTAAGCAAGGGGGGCTGGAAACCCCTTCTCCCTCTTGGTTCTACCTGCCAGGCTTGCTGCTGTTTCCTAGTGGAGCAGGGTTGTTTCTCCCATACACACTATCCAAAAGTGGAGATGTAACAGTTCTTGAGAAATTTTGTTTTTTGAGACAGGGTGTTGCTCTGCTGCCTAGGCTGGAGTGCAGTGGCGTGAACATGGCTCACTGTAGCCTTGATGTCGCAGGCCCAAGAGATCCATCTGCCTCAGCCTTCCGAGTAGCTGGGACTACAGATGCACACCACCACCACTCCAGGCTAATTTTTTGTATTTTTCATAGAGATGAGGTTTCACCATGTTGCCCAGGCTGGTCTCGAACTCCTGGGGTCAAGTGATCCACCTGGCTAGGCCTCCCAAAGTGCTGGAATTGCAGGTGTGAGCCACCATGCTTGAGGAATTTTTTTTATTTTTTTATTTTTTTATTTATTTTGTTTTATTGCATTTTAGGTTTTGGGGTACATGTGAAGAACATGCAAGATTGTTGCATAGGTACACACGTGGCAGTGTGATTTGCTGCCTTCTTCCCCTTCACCTATATCTGGCATTTTCCCTCATGCTATCTCTCCCCAACACCTCCACTATACTAGGAGGGGATCATTAGACTGACAAATTCTTCTAACTACTTCCTCTCCTTCTGAAATGTTTAGTCCCAGCAAAGCTGCAGACCAAGACCAACAGGCAAAAGAGACATGAAACGACAGAGAGGTTCCCCTTATGAAGCTCCCAAGTTAACTCAGTCCCTCTTTCCTCTTAGGGAATGAGGGAGGTAAGATGAGGGTGATGGTTAATGAGATCTGCATTGATTCCTGTACAGCAGCCCTTTCCACTGGACACAGTAGAAAAGGGCGCTGTACAGGAAGCAGCAGTCTATCCCTAAATAGCTGTGTGACCTTAAGCAAGCCCCTGTTGCTTTCCAAGGCTCAGGATTCCCATCTGTAAGCACAGGGGTTCAATCTGGTGCTAACCCAAGGACCAACAAAAGCCCATCAGCAGAGGCCTGGGGAACACTTCTCAGACCCAACCATGTTGGTATTTATGCTCAGCTTCCTACTTCTTCCTGCCTTTTTCCCTGCAATTCCAAGAGGAGGCTGACATACTAAAACTTTCTTTTGGAGGTAGCCTGCCCACAGGTCTATTTCCAGATTCAAAGGTGGCCTCTTACCTGCCTGACTTTGCAGCATGCTTCTGATCCCTTTCTAAGACCCCATTCTAAATCTCATTCAAAAAGTTTGTGTTTATTACAGCATATTTATATAAAAAAATACCAACTCCCTGCCAAGTCCCTACTCTTTGATGTCCCCTTCCCCTAAAAGGATCAGATTGCCTTTCCACAGCCTGGCATCTGGGAAACCCCACCACTGAGCCTCAACCTCTTCTCTACCTCTGAGCCACACCATCTAAACCAGAATAGACTCAGTCACTCCCCTCACCCTGCCTGTCAACCACTCTCTCCCCTCCCATTCCTAGGTCTGCTTACCCTCTGCCTACCAAACACCTCTACTTTCTGGCAGCTTCCAAGGACGATCCCCCTGCTTATACGGATCTTTGATCTCTCTCCCCGTAGTTTGCCTCTAGGCTCATGAATCAGCAACCAAAGACATGCATAGTCTGGGGTCTGAGCATTCCAAATCCTGAACCTGTTGTTGCGAGAGGATATATCCTAACTTCTTTTTCTTGTAATTGCAATCATCCCCCTTCTAATCCGTCCTCATTAGGCACAGTCAATACATATCTCAGCTTTGAGTACCATTTCTCTAGTCACTTTTATATGAATCAAGTTAAGCACAAATTGGAAAGGCAAAGGTCTTCTCGAAAACTCTACAAAGAAAGCAAGTCCTTCTGGAACAATCATTACACTTGGCTTTGAGAGGCTTGTGGCCGAGGTCCAGGTTTTATTTACTCCTCCAAAGGGTTCTGAGAGAACCCAGACATCCATGATATCAGAGAGACAAAACAGAGGCAGGCCAACTTAATTATAGTCTGCCTCCTATTATAATTTAAGCCTGAATATGCCCAGGAGAAGTAGGCAGCCCTGGAGGAGTTCCGAGAGGAAAGAAGGCAACATGGGTGGGCAAGACCCAGGCAAAAAAGGCACCAAGGAAAGGGTAGGCCCAGAACAGGGGTCTGAGAAGGAAGATTTGCACAGGTATAGGCTGAGTGGGTTTGAGCGTGGGCAAGGGAGTTACATAGAGCACATACATTAGGTGCCTGTTGGCCTGAGACAAGGCAGAGGGCAGGTCCAGCCCTGGGATGGAGATGCCCAGCTGCAAGTAGAGGTTTGTGTTGGGGCCTAATCAAGGTGGGAGGAGGGTGACTGTAGTGTGATATCTGTGGTCCCGGCTCCTGTCATAAAAGTCCATATCTAGCCTTCCCTCAACTGAGGGATTTACTGGGTCTCATTGCCCCTCCTCAAAGATGCCAAAGCTTTGCCTGGGCCCTGCAGCCCGCAGGGCTCTCCAAACAAGAGGTTAATCAAAGGTCCAAGAAGAGCCTACCAAGCCCCTCAGTTGCTTCCTCTGTCCTATTCCTCAGAAAGGCCTAAGAGCTCACTGCCAGAGGTGCACCGTGGTGCAGTAACTGTACAGTGGGTGGGGCTGAATGAGGGGAGCCGCACTGGGGGAGGGGGCTCTGCTTGAATCCCAGTGGGGCAGGCAGCCCAACAGTGCAGTGCCCTGCCCTCCACCTTGCCCATGCTGCTGCAGCAGGCAGGCAGAGCCGCAGAGGGAGGTATTTCTGTGCAGAACAAGGCTCGCCTTGACCCCAAGGCCCATGCCAAGGGGAGCGAGGCCAAACACAGACCAGCTCTGCGGGGCCAGTCCAGCTGCCGCCTAGCTGCTTGGGCTGTGACGCATGTGGCCGGCGCAGCCCCTCACCACTGGGGGAGCCCAAGCAAAGTCCAGCGTTCGGGCGGTCACCAGTGTCAGAAGTGTCTCCAGCAGACAATGACAGCGGCCTGGCGGGCTGGGTATGTTAAGTAACTGCGAAGTTGGAGGGTTTGGCCACTCGCTAGCTCTCTTGTACACACAGAGATGGTATGATGCGTTTTGTACTACAATGACGGCCCCTTAGGCCTCTGGCAAGGCAATGCCGCCCAAACGCCGTGTCCATCGCTATTTTTAAACGGGAGGCTGCAGAGAAAAACGCGGCCAGTATCCTCCAAGGGAAAAGGAGGTGAGGCGAGGGGGGAGACAAAGCGGCCTTGCAGCTCTAACTCAAGGACTAGCTTGCGCCGCTGCTCTAACCCAAGGACCAGCAAGAGCCAGGCTGCCAGCCAGCCTGCCCGACCGCGGGGGCGGGCGCCAGATGCGCCTGGAGGCCCAGGAGGAGGGGCGCGGCTAGTTGGGGCCGCAAGGCCAAGGTTCTGAAGGGAAGTGTGCAACTGAGCTCAGCCCACAGGCCCAACTGAACTCCTCAGGGGAGGGGGCAGTCTGTGGATGTCTTAATCTACGCCAAAGCCGGTCTCTGTCGGGCCCAAGCCAGCACGCCAGCTTGAGTCCGCAGAAAGGACGGACAGGCTGGAGATGCACAGGGGAGGGGAGGGGCGGCAGCCAGGCAGCCGGGGTGAGCAGTACCCGTGTAACACAGCTGTTCCAGCAAACGTGCTAAACAAAGCTGCGGAGCTCCCGGCCTACAAATGCACGGCTTGGGGTGTTGGCTGGAGGCGCCCTTCCCGGGACTGTGCGGCAGCACGTGCGGGCCCATCTCCGCCTCCCCCGAGAGCCGGGAGGGATGGCCCAGGCTAGCCTGTCTGCCTATCCGCCCTCCCCAACCCCCTCCCCCCAGCCGTGGTCACTTGTGCCCAGGGGACTCACGGCCGCTCGGCCTCTCACCCGACAGTCCGCAAAGCGGGTTCCAAAGGAGAGGGGCGAGAGACCGGGACTCCGACCCTCCCAGTCCTCAGTGCACTCCTCCAGTCCATAGGAGCAGAGCACGCGGGAATGCACCCGACCGCGGGCAGGCGGAGGCTCCTGGCTGTGCGCAACGCTTACCCGGCCCGGTCAGGTTCCCAGCCCGGTTATTGTCCGCTGCGCCGCCCTGGGCCGGGCTGCAGCCTCGGCTGCCGCGGCTAAGAGCGCCGCCACCGCAGCTGCTGCCGCTACCGCCGCGGCTCCAGTCACCTCCTGCACTGACTCCCCTTCCCCAGGCTTTGGGTAGCTCCCCCATACCCCCTCCCCCCCGTACTCCATCGCCACCGGGTGGGGCATCTGCGTCCTGATTGGCAGGGGCATGACCCAATCACTATGGTGAGAAGGCGTGACCGTCCCGCCCACTGTTTTCCTTGGTGCGTTTCTCTTTAAATGCAAATAAGTGCGGGCGTGGTGTTGGCAGGGGGCGGAGAGGGTGCGGAACCCCTGGCTGGGGCTCCCCTCTCCTGCCCCCACGCCCGGCGGGTAGTGGCGTGGCTGCACAGTGGCCTCAAGGAGACGATCCTGCCCGGATGGGGTTCACCGGATCCCTGGAGCTCGGTTTCGGTTTTCACGCACTCCCATTTCCGTGGCCGCTGTGCATTCGCTCTACTGTGCCCTGGCCGCCACCAGGCAGTTTATTCCTCAGCTAGAGGCCGGGGGGAGTAACGAGGCAGAGAGGTTGAGGAACTTGGGGAGACTGCAGAACCTCTTAGCACCTCGGCCTGCCCATCGTTAGTCATAGAGACAAGGCCCTGCGGATCCTGCCCCAGGCCACCCGGAGGAGGGACTCACCTGCCAGGAAAGTCAGCTGCAGCGCCTGCGCCCCAACTTCGTCCTCCTCTCTGGCACACCAGGGCCCTTAGATACCATAAAGGCCAACTTCCACCCGTTACCGACGTGTTGCCCGGACTCTGCCGCCCAGAGTAGTGAAAGCCCCTCCCCGCAGTTACCCAGCCTGCCGGTGTCGTGGGCCAATTTGGAATCCAGAGCCCGGGGCTCCCCTTCCAGGATTGCTTTCACTTTTCTTCTCTGAGATGATACCTGTTTCCATAGTTTAACCCTCACCCAATTTCCCACCTTCTATGGAATGCGGAGGGAAACTCCAAGGTCTCCAGAGTCCCCCTTCCCCCAATCCTTTGTGAGCCTGGCTTTGTGCAGGCCTTCTTCCCTGAAAAGTCTAAATATTAAGAGGAAAATCTTGCCTGGGTCCAAACCGGAGGTCAGCCTGAGGACAAAGTGAGGAGGCCTGTACCAGCCTTGTCTGCTACTGTATGTGGGATGTGGCAGGGAGCCAGCCGAACTTGGGTCTCTAGCCTAAGGAAGTTAAGTGGCATTAGTGGCTGCCAGGGCCAGGTGAGCTGAGGCAACAAAGAATCTAGTTCTACCACTAGTTCAAGAATATCCAGAAGGCCCAGCCCTAAAACTCTGTGTGTGTCTAAAAAGGGAGGTGGGGGGATTAAAGTTAAGGATAGGGAGGATTAGAGAACAATGTGTGCTATTTTTGCATTGCAGGAGTGTTCTCTGCTGCGTCTGAGTCTTGACAGTCTTGAAAAGATCCAGCTGCTGAACTGGTAAGAGGTAGACTGCTGCCTCTGCATGGGTGGAGCACAGGAACTGACATAGCTGCTGGGGATCTGACTCCACCTCTACCTCAGACTTGCTAGACACCTTGGCCAATTCATTTTCCTCTCTGGGCCAGTCCATCACCCCATTACCATAAGGAGAGGGTAAGCATCATCAGGCCCCCTTGATATCTTTGAGATCTGACAATTCAACTCATTTTCTTTCTATAATATTCCATGACTTTCCGTGGAATATTATGGAAAATATATATGTTCTATCACCTTTCATGACATTCTATATATTGCCAGCAAAACTCAATACTGAACATTAGATTCCTATCCTAGTACCCAGTCTAAATAAATGGTGAGGAGTAGGGAGCTGCTGCTGGCTCATTATGCAACTTTTCCCCATCTGGATGGCTGGACTATAAAGGTTTCCCTGTGGCTATGCTTTCCTGCTTCACAAAGTCCTGATTCTCATTTGGGGGCCTGATTTTGAAGTGTCTTTTCTTTTCCTGAACCTTCATTATATTTCCTTCCTACCTCATGCCTCTGGACACTGCAACTTGCTCACATTTTACTCAGAACTTTGATTCACTGAATCAAACCAAGATTATGATTCGGAGAAGCAGTTTACAAACCTGGGGTTCAGGGAAACAAAAGGCCAGAGCAGTCTCAGTTGTGGAAGCAGGGTGAGAGGAGGTGTGCAAAGTAGTCAGGTGGCAGGCTTGAAATAGTTTCAGGCACTATTGTGCTGCTCCTGTCACAGGGGCTAGTCTTCTATACCTTCTGCTCAGCCACCAAACATTCTGTCACACCAGTCCATTTTTGGAGTGACTAGTGTGGGAGAAACAACTCATGAGAAATTGAGCTAAGTCCTAAAGAAATGGGGCTTCAGGAAAGCAAAAACAGTCTGTGATGTTAGAGATCTCCCAGCGGAGCACCCTTCTTTGTGGTCCTGATATTACTGAGTCTTGGGAGGATATTGTGTGTGTGTTAAGGGGAAAAGGATGTGGGAGGGGACAACACAGCTTCTTGTTTGTATGGCCCATTTCTCTCGGGGGACGATGTACGGAAAAACCAAGTGTGTGCATAAACTTGCGCCTCAAAATGCCTCCTGCTTAGAGAGTACTCTAAGGCCCCATTGCACATGCTGACTGACACATGATCAACTTGTTTGGTCAAGACAGGCACTGGTGGTGGGTAGCAGGAATTCTTCCTTAAGTTTGTTTACCTACAAAATGTAGATAATCCTTGTGCTGCCTAGTGTCTTGTGGCTGCGGTGAAAAGCCCGTAAGAACAGATATCTGGGCTTTGTGGAGGCAACTCCATAAACTCAAGTAGACAGACTAGGCCACATCATTACAATGCCCCTTTCTTTCTTCACCAAGTTTTCCATAGTCATTTCCTCTATGACTGGCCTGTTGATAGGTACTGGGGGAAGCAGTACAGTGATAACCATTTTGAGGCACCTGGGGATGGGGTTCTGAGAGGAACTGAAAGCTAGACTAGAGGTTTGGCAAAGGTATTCTGGAGACCCCAGGGTGGCAAGGGGAATCAGAGAAAAGTTCTATGGAGGATAGCTTTGATGGTTGGATCAAATCAGAAAAGTAGGGGAAAGGTTCCCGCTAAGCCAAAGCCCATCGGTGAGGAGGTATGGTGAGTTGGGCAAGAGCTATGATTCTGGATGGCTGTGGCTAAGTATTTGTGTAGTGGGGAGAGGAAGAGCTGGACATTATACCAGAAAGAAAGGCCTGGAGCCAAAGTGTAAGAGACCATGACTGCCTGGATAAATTGAGGATAAACTAGCTAAGTTCATCCTTCCCAGGGATGTGGTATGTTGTAGTGGCTCTGCTACCAAACTGCCTGGGCTGGGATGCCGGGCTCACCACTTAGAAGCAGTATGATCTGGGTGGGCTAATTCACCTCTCTGAGTCTCAACACTTTTTTTTTTCTGTAAAATGAGAATAATAGCACCCACATCACAGAATTGTGTAAGAATTGAGTAGTCCATGTAAAGTGGCACAGAGACTAGTACTTGTGGTCTCAATAAATGTTAGCTACTGATACTGTTATTATTGGTCTCCTTCTGATCCAATGTACAGATCTTCAAAGTTATGGAAATGCTAATATGACTTTGAAACCAGTTTTTAATATAAACACACATGAGCCTGTGATTTCTTATGCACAGATTCATTTTGATCGTACAGACCCAGACTCAGTTTCCCAGGGCAGAATCTTTTGTTCAACTTTATATCCTCGGCACCCAACAGAAAGTTTGGCACAAACTTGTTGATGAGCATGTATTTACTGAACATAGTCAAATGAGGCATTTTCAGGCCTAATATCAAGCTTAAGTGCCAGCATTCACCAGTGAAGTGTGATGTTACCACTCATTGAGCACCTCCTTTATGCCGTGCCCTGTGTTAAGTGACACACTCATTACCCAGAAAGATGGACTACACACAGCTTCTGGCCTCAAGGGCAGTCAGTCTAGTGGAGGAGGAAGAAAACTCATGAGTTTTTTACTTGGGCAAGGGACTGCTGGATGGTGTTGTCATCCACTAAAATGACGAACATAGGAACAGAATCTGGAAAATGTAATGATTCTGGTTAGGACATACTGAATTTGACTTGTCAGAAATCCCACTTAAGGTCTTTGTGCAGGCTGTTCTCCCTGCCTACAATGTTTGTCCTCTGAATATTGGCATAGTTTGTACCTCAGTTCCTTCAGGTGGCTGCTCAAATGCCATTAATAGTGACACATTCACTGGACAGTTGATTTATAAAATAGCAATCCCCATTTCCACCCCCTTCACTCTCCAATTCTTTAATTGGGCCTTTTTTTTTTTCTTATCCATAGCATTTACCACCTCTTGGTATATGTCTTATTGTTATTTATTCATTTTCGTGTCATTTTTAAGTTTTCTGTTTCTCATTATGAAAATGGAAACTCTGTGAGGTATAGACAATGAACAAATACATACATAAAATATACAGTACGTCAGATGGCAATAAATGTGATGGCGATCCTAGTACAGTGTCACGTGCCTGTAGTCCAAGCTACTCAGGAGGCTGAAGCAGGAGGATAGCTTATGTCCAGGAGTTCTGGGCTGTAGTGCACTATGCTGATAGGGTGTCTGCATTAAGTTCAGCATTAGTATGGTGACCTCCCAGGAGAGGGGGACCATCAGGCTGCCTAAGGATATAAAAATTGGCTAAGATCAGAAATGGAGCACGTAAAAACTTCCATGTTGATCAGTAGTGGGATTGTGCCTGTGAATGGCCACTGCAACGCAGTCTGGGGAACATAGTGAGACCTTGTCTCTTAAAAAAATAATATGATGGAGAAAAATAGACCAGGGAATGGGTACAGGGAGTACTGAGGGGTGCTCTTTTAAACAAGGAAGTTGGAGAAGGTGATATTTTAGCAAAGACCTAGAGGAACTGAGAGAGCAAACCATGAGGAGGTCTGGAGAAAGGGCGTTCCAGGTACAGGGACCAGTAAATACAAAGTCTCTGAGGTGGTGACACGCTGAAATGTTAGAGGAGCATCTAGATAAGCCAGTGTACCTGGAAACACAGTGAGTGAGGAGGAAAGTTGTAGACAAGGAGGTCAGAGAGGATGCAGGGAAACAGACAATGTATAGTTTTGTGAATCATTTTAAAGACTTTAGACTTTGCAGGATTTTGAGCTGAGGAGTCACATGACTTTAGTAAAACATCTAGGGAGCTATAGCAGCAAGGAAAGAAGCAGAGATGCCAGGAAGGAGGCTCTGATCTTGATCCATATCAGGATAGAGGCAGCGGAGGTGGTGGAAACTGATTGGATGCTGGATGTATTTGGAAGACAGAACTGGCTGGACTTGGTGTTGACACCTTAGATGAATGGTGTGAGAGAAAGAGAAGAGTGAGGAATAGAAGCCCACAAAGCCCTGAGGAGGGATTGGCAATGTGAAACCAGAGCAAAGAGAACTGGCTCTCCTGGAAGCCAAATAAGGTACTAGGATTTTATAAAAGACAGAGTTACCAAGAGCGTATGTGTTGTTGTGCTGCCCAGAAATCCATCAAGATACAGGCAGAAAAGACGCCATTGGTTGTGAATCTGGCAAGTCACTGGTGATACGGGCAAGGCCAGTTCAGGACAGAGCTGTAGATATACACTAGACTGTGCTGGGGTGTCAGGAGAATGGTCTGTGAGAAAAGGGAGAATATATACAGCTTCCTTGTTCTAGAAATTTGACCACAAAGATGTGATAGCTAGAGGGGGCTCTGGAGTTCGGGTTTGTTTTTACAAGATGGAAGGAGGTGAGTTTATGTGCTGAGGGGAAAAGAAATCAATCAAGTAGAAGATATAGGAAACAAGATAATTCATGAGTGGGGGCTATGGGTGAGAGTGGAGGATGGAATCCAGAGCCCTTACAGATGAGTTAGCTTTTGCTGGCAGTAGGGATCAAGACAAGAGGGAAAAATGGGTGGATTCAGTGGAGTTTGTTGTTATGGAAGATTGAAGATGCCACTCCTTATGACCCTTACCTGCTCTGGGAAGGAGGCAAAAATCCTAGTTGGCAGTGAAAGGAAAAGCAATACTGGAGGGAGGTTCAAGGAAGCCTGTTAATATTGGACAAGATTTGAAATAGACACTGTCGACAATGGGCTAGTTGGTAAAGGCCCAACTAGGCTGTCACCCAATAATGTATAGCCACCTCATTCTGCAGTTTTGTGACATCCTGCTTCCTAGCTGTGTGGCCTACAGCAACTTCACCTACTTAACTTCACTGTACCTCAATTTCCTCATCTATAAAATAGGCATGAGTAAAACAAAGCATTGAATTAAATGAGTTAATCCATGTGAAGTGATTACTGAGGACACTGCCTGGCACATGTAAGTACTTGATGGAAATAAACTCTTGAGAGTTATTTTTATTTTTGATTGACAAATCATAATTGTATACACTTATGGGATATATGATCTTTTTATATATGTATACAATGTGGCATAATTAAAT